TGTATGACCCGGGGATGGGCGAGCCAATGATGATCTCCTCGCCTCTACACAAGGAGTCCTGGGGCACTGTAAGTCGGCTAAGAACCCCTGGTCATTAGGTGGGATGGTCAATAGGAATCTCCTCGCCTCTACACAAGGAGTCCTGGGGCACTGTAAGTCGGCTAAGAACCCCTGGTCATTAGGTGGGATGGTCAATAGGAATCTCCTCGCCTCTACACAAGGAGTCCTGGGGCACTGTAAGTTGGTTATGGACACCTGGTTATAAGGTGGGGTGGTCTGTGTGAATCTCCTCGCCTCTACACAGGGAGTCCTGGGGCACTGTAAGTTGGTTATGGACACCTGGTTATAAGGTGGGGTGGTCTGTGTGAATCTCCTCTCCTCTACACAAAATGAGTCCTGGGGCACTGTAAGTTGGTTATGGACACCTGGTTATAAGGTGGGGTGGTCTGTGTGAATCTCCTCGCCTCTACACAGGGAGTCCTGGGGCACTGTTAGTTGGTTATGGACATCTGGTTATAAGGTGGGGTGGTATGTGTGAATCTCCTCACTTCTACACAGGGAGTCCTGGGGCACTGTAAGTTGGTTATGGACACCTGGTTATAAGGTGGGGTGGTCCGTGTGAATCTCCTCACTTCTACACAGGGAGTTGGTTATGGCCACCTGGCTAGCTATTCTCGAAACGTTCGTAGCCCTACGAACTTCTTAAGCCCATTCTTAACACATTGGCTACGATCAAAGCTAAGAATTCTTAGGGCCACGAACGTTTCGAGAATAAGGGCTCTGGTTATTAGGTGGGGTGGTCCGTGTGAATCTCCTCACTTCTACACAGGGAGTCCTGGGGTACTGTAAGTTGGTTATGGACACCTGGTTATTAGGTGGGGTGGTCCGTGTGAATCTCCTCACTTCTACACAGGGAGTCCTGGGGTACTGTAAGTTGGTTATGGACACCTGGTTATTAGGTGGGGTGGTCCGTGTGAATCTCCTCACTTCTACACAGGAGTCCTTGGGTTACAGTAGGTAGGTTAAGCACACCTGGTTATTATGTGGGTGGTCTGTGTGAATCTCCCCACTTCTACACAGAGAGTCCTTGGGTTACAGTAAGTAGGTTAAGCACACCTGGTTATTGGATGGGTGGTCTGCAGTGATCTCTTCACATCTACACAGGGAGTCCTTGCGCACAGTAAGTAGGTTAAGCACACCTGGTTATTATGTGGGTGGTCTGTGTGAATCTCCTCACTTCTACACAGGGAGTCCTGGGGTACTGTATTGTCTAGTATTCTCCTTTAAGCACACCTGGTTATAAGGTGGGGTGGTCTGTGTGAATCTCCTCACTTCTACACAGGGAGTCCTGGGATACTGTATTGTCTAGTATTCTCCTTTAAGTACACCTGGTTATATGGTGGTGTGTATGCTATTATCTTCCGACTCTTAACAGGGAGTTGTGTAATCAGAGTAACGTTACTCATCACAAAGGAGTCAGCATGGAAATGTGTCAGCGAAGATAGGTCTGTGACTTGTATGAATGTATACTTGAAGGTATCTGACGCCCTCGGTAGCACTATGGACTTTACGCCTACCATACTGGACTGGTTCGGTGTGAACTACCCTCAGTACAACATGCTCGGCAAGAAGGTGCAGCTGACCGGCAAGTCCCTCCTCCCAGTGACTGCCAACCCCGACACCACGGCTGAGAACTTCACCTACGTCTTCTCGAGTCACGATCTACACGAAGTCACCATGTACTATCCCATGAGGGTTCTCCGCACCATGACGTGGAAACTCATCCACAACTTAAACTTCGAGGCTCCGTACCCAATAGCTTCCGACTGTTACCAGGCCCCTTCCTACCTGGAAATCATCAACAAGACCATGGCTGGGCAGAAAACAGGATGGTTCAAAGATTTGGAACACTACTACTACAGGGACCAGTGGGAACTGTTCAACATTGAGAGTGACCCTATGGAGCTGAACAACCTGGCTTATACTTCTGAGCACTCGGGTGTGTTCACCAAGATGCAGACAACGTTACTCACCTGGCTGAACGTCACCAACGATCCCTGGATCTGTTCCCCGACGGGGGTGCTGGAAGGCCAGACGTGCATGACGTTGTTTAATAGCGCTAAAGCGTTTGGTCGGGAGAGATCGTGCACTCAGAATCTATGACCCGGAAGTTGATCTGGAACAATGTCTTGTGTTTGTATCCATGTTGCCGAGAATGGAACTGAATTATACTGCTGGTATGATGTGATCCACTTACTGAGACATACTTCAATAAATAATGTTTTTTGGTGTAACTTGTGCTACTGAATTTACGCAAGGGAGATAACCTTCTCTACTAAATAGAAACCTATCTGAAGTAAGTGTTAAACGGTTAGATTATGTTTTTCGAATTAAAGATAAAATCAACAGGGGTATAGATTATTTTACACACTCCAACAGTTGTGTAAATGAACCGTGTTGATGAAGGGAGCCTGTCACAGAGATGTATTGCGATGCGGACGTATAATATTCAGCCCCGAATACTGAGTCTGCAGAGATGATATTATTATGCTAATATTTATATAGCGCTAGTATCCAGCTCATTTGTTCAAAGGCGCTTTGTTGTTCCCTCGATCGTATGATGTCAATCTCAAACGGCAAATCGTATTGTCAATCTCAACTCCCTGGGGATCATACAGCTCTTGCAGCCAATAGGCGCACCGAGTTATTGCAGTTTTCCCATCCTTACGAGGTACCCATTCACAGCTGGGTGGACTGGGACACATAGTCACAGTACTCTGTCCAAGTTCACTGCACGTTGCTGTACCCGCAACTAGGTGTTTGCACGTATTCATGTGTCCACCATCTGGTCATTTACCAACAGATTGGTGTGTTCTTTTAAGTGCACAGGGTTGAGTACCGTACAATAGGGGTTGTGACAACACTGAAAGAGTCTGCACACAAATTAAAGTTGACTCAAAGGTTTTTACACCCGGTCATAGGTGGGCTCGATTCCGGCACCTCAAGCTCGCTGGATCACACTTGCCTGGCGCCTTAGACGGCACGCCCAGCTCGTCCACCGCGCCCCCATATGAAGGGTGGTCTGTGAGTTTGACAGGAATATGCCTAATGGAGAAGTGAAAACAAGTGGTTATTGTCGCCGTAATCACGCTAAATTCCGTCTATATTACTGAGACCCTTAAGTGATCGAGCATTAGTCCTTTCTCTGTTTAGGACACATTGCACGATCAAGACATCGGTAAAATGAAGGACATCATTTCAACTCGACATACCTCTACTCCAGTTGGTATGTCAGCTGTGACGACTGCCTCGGGGAACACAGGCATATTCCATGATGTATTATGTCTACCACCAGAACCGCTTCCAGCGTCAAAAACATATACTCCACTATCGATTTCACCCGCTGCCCTAACCGAATAACTACTATATCTTCGTCATGCCACACAACATACAACTAAACAGAACTTAGCATTCCGCGATTACGAACAAACAAAAGTATATGCTCTGTGGTTCTACATCGTGTTATATGTCTACCTCCAAATATTGATATTTTCAAGTTACACTACAGTAAGTGTTGTTAATCATATTACAGGTATGATGGCGTGATCAGTTACATGTGTGACTGCCGGCGGTGTGACGTGTGCCCTATGTGTTGATGTGTATGCATACCATTAGCCGTATGTGCACCTGCTTCTGGGAATCTGTTCACAGGCCTCCAAAGGTCACGCATCGGCTAGACGCTAGATTATGATTGGTTATGTCGTTGTGTCTGTCCTCTACTGACTGAGTGCGTAGAGCAAAAAGGTTTCATTGCTGCAATATGTAATTTCGTTTATCTTCGAATACAGGTTTCCAGAGGAGATATCGCTTGTAGAAGATCAAGCGATATCTCCTAGGAGATATCATTTTGGTAAGTTTTGAGCTAATTGCTAATTGATCAATATTTTCGGACGTCTTTTATCTCTCTTACCTGTAAACAAAGATGGCCACCGCAATGAGCTATTTTTGTTCATGATTAATTTTGTTCTAACGACATAAAAGTTTACTTAAAATGTAACCAGGAAATGGTGAAACATACGCATTGCAGAATTTAAAGCAATAAATGTCAGCACTACTTCGTTATGTGCTTGTTTTTTATGACACAGTGGTGTCACTCGTTCCTTCTTCAGTCACTCTTGTTCATTTGGATGTATTCATACGCACGTCTTCAAATGAACTTGTTACAGATGACGTTTCGTTTTTAATTTCTCTTGAACGACATAAAGCATGATATTGGATGATAAATAGAATATCACCCTCGTGTCTCTTCATATCCAATATATCACCGCTCGTTGATAAAAGTGAGAAAATTCCTCATTCGGAATTTTCTCACTTTTAACAACGAGTGGTGATATATTGGATGTCAAAAGACACTCGGGCGAGATTCTCTATTTCAATGAAATATTCATGTCACGGCAATTATGATATTATACATACATTGCCAGACGTCCTTCCTGTCACTGTCAAAGACGCCAAGCGCTAATTAATTAGGACTTCTTTTGTAAGTTTTGGAGTCACGTATTTATGTCACAATCAATTTCCTCTCAAGTACTTAAGGCACTAATGACCATGAACTGGCTTATTTACAGAATTAACATCAGGTGCTGTGTACTGGATTCCATTGAAGTCTCCTCCCCATTGTCCTCTCTCATTATAGGTTGATATACACAGAGTATACAGCCCCTAGTGTAGTGTCACATCACTTTAACATAGGCACATCTGTTATCTGTTGTCATGGATGTTATCTTTGTTATCTCATGCTATGTGAGTGCGAGTGTACTTATCGTGATTCTTACCCCAGATTACTCGATCTTGGCATGATGTCAGCTATATACATTTATTCAAAGTTATGTCATTATAAATGTTTGCGACCGTGTTTGGACATACGTCGTGCCTCACTGTCCCACTGCTCGGAAGATATGTCCTTATGATATGCCAGGATAGAAATATCACACACACACTTGAGGTGAAATAAAACATTTATCACAACCATTGCAATCGTGCGTGCATAGAAATGTGAACAATTTCCAGAACATGCTGCACTAAAAGTGTAATCAGTAAAACAAGGAACAATCTGCATCCTGTGAGCTGATAAATGTTTGAACACGTGGCATAAAGGCCGGAAGTAAAACATGTTCTTTCCTTTGGAATTTATACACATGTGTCCATGTATCTCCGTATAATAAAGTTACACTTAACACAAACCATGTAAACACATCTGGTGGGTCATTCAGTAATTGTGGCAGGAAGTGGTTCTGGGATATTGTAGGGGTGGGTGGCGGGGTAATGAGTATTGGTGGTGGGGTAGTGAGTGTTGGTGGTGGGTGACAGGGGCTGAGAGGGGCTGACACGGTGGGAGGAGCAAGCAACAGCCCCACAGTTCATATCGGTATCCACCCATTGGTGACATGGTGTTCGACTTGAAGCTTGAGCTCTTAATCAATCCCAGCTAGAAATGAGTGGTCGAAGTCCCCGTATCATCGACAGCACTTCCAACTACTACTATTTTCGATCCGTTTGCAACATTGCCCTTTGTAACCTCCTCACCCTCCATCTGGTGTAGACTCTCGCATCTCTCGACAGTTAGCTCTCCCTGTTTGCGCATGTAGGCACATCTCCGGTGGCGCTGTTTCCTAGAAGGCAGGCAGGAGTAGTAGGCACTGAAGTTTGTGGCAATGATTGCGATCGGCATGGAGAGCGTCACAAGCCCTGCCAGGGCACAGATGATACCTACTATATAGCCTGGGATGGACTCTGGGTAATAGTCGCCATATCCCACTGTCGTCATGGTGATAATAGCCCACCACAGAGCAACTGGGATGTTCTCAAACGTGTTTGTTTCTGCTAGCACCTCAGCGAAATAGGCCAGTGTTCCAAATATGTTGATGGCAATGATGAGCACCGTGAACAACATGAAGATTTCCTTGACGCTTGCCTTGTACGTGAGAAACAGAACCTTCATGCTGTCAAACCGCCGGGCTATATGGAAAATACGTAATATCCGCAGAGACAGTAAACTCCGCAGAACAATTACGATGATGGTAATCTCTTGTGATTGGTTGTTCTTCAATACAATCTCGTCCAGACAGAAAGACCCCCACATGATGATCACAAGGACTAGGTCAACCAGGTTCATGAAGGAACGGAAGAAGGTCTTCTTGCTTGGTGAGACCGCGAACCTGAGGGGCAGCTCGAGGGTGAAGAAGACGATGCAAGACAGATCGAGGTAGTACAGAATGACGTGTAAGTCACTCTCTATCAGCGCGCGGAAGCTCTTGTAGGGGCCGTTTGCAGTGATGTTGTTGATGTTTGGCTTCGCCACCCGCAGTTCCCGGACGGAAGACAGGGTGAAGACCACGATGGCCAGGAGGACGAAGATGAGGTAGATGAGATTCCATACCTGAAACACAACATTACACGGAGAAGCATGTAATCATTGGCTCGAATACAACACGGTGGTTATCTTATAGAACACTGGAAAAACGGCATGTGTAAACAGCTGTTGCGCTACTGGTTTTCTGGTCCATCACTGCATTGTCTGGTTTATTTACAGGCCACTGCACTCGTGAAGATCTGGGTTACAATTGTCCTTCAGCAGCTCATGCTTGTCGTAAAAGGCGACTAACGGGATCGTGTGGTCAGCTTCGCTGACTTGGTAGACAAGTCGCACTCAGCAATATTTCAGCTATATTCCGGCAGACTGCAAATAATCGAGTCTGGACTAGACAATCCAGTGATCAAGAGTATGAGCATTTATCTATGCAACTGGGATACAATGACTAGTGTCAACCGAGACAGCGAGCCTGACCACACGATACCGTTAGTCGCCCCTTACGACAGGCATGGTTTGTTGAAGATTAAATCTATCGCGGATCTTCACGGATGGGTTAACGTCAAGATAAATCTAACTATGAGCACGTCCATGACACACGATGAACCTACATTAACTTAACCTATATCTTATAAGACAATCCCCTCGGACAAAAGCCTGCTCATGTTCAAATATCCTAAAAGGCAAAATGGAGTATCCATCCTTATTCGATGGTAAAAGAAAGTATAAATCTATGTTTAATGGGTTCTCAAACTGAAACAAGAAATGGTTACCCGGTGCTGATGTCTATGATACAGATATCATAGTCGACATTCCATACGTTATATCAAGGAGCTTGTCACAGCAGGTGGCGTGCACATGACGTCTCTGGGAACGTGGGGGTCGCTGTTGCACCGTACACAGTCATTAGCAGAATGAAGAAGTTATTCATTCATTTGCCCGGCAACTTAACAAAACAACTTCCGGAATAAATCTTAAATGAGTCTTTTATTTATTTTATTTATAAACCTCTAGCTCTACTTATGCTTGTTGTCTTGTATTAACTGCAAAACACGTGTACACAGTGTACAAATGAATCACTTTAGTGATCATTTTCAAAGCGCGTATGTTATTCTTGTGTCTGATGCACTAAGTAGTATGGCGTCCATCCCACACAGTCATATGATCACGGGGTGGTGTGTGTGTGTGTGTGTGTGTGTGTGTGTGTGTGTGTGTGTGTGTGTGTGTGTGTGTGTGTGTGTGTGTGTGTGTGTGTGTGTGTGTGTGTGTGTGTGTGTGTGTGTGTGTGTGTGTGTGTGTGTGTGTGTGTGTGTGTGTGTGTGTGTGTGTCACGCAGAATATAAGCTCACCGCCAGGTTACGGGTGTTACTTTAGTAGAGCAGTATCTGACATCAATATAGGGTGTCGATACTACCGTACATTACGGAATACGGGTCACACAACGGTCTTGAGAATATGTACGCCACGGAATGATCTAAATGGTCAGCACAAATTCTGCTCATGTTGGGGGTTGAACCTACACAGATTACATGCCGAGCAACGCATTACCTTTAGGGCTAACGCACCGTTCATTATCACTAGAAACCGACTTATCTGTCAACAAACGGATGGGAATATTATTTTCAGCCGATGGGTGTATTGCATAATTTTGCATAGATTTTATAAAGTACATGTCTTTTCTAGAGTACGTTTACTTTGGACCAACCTTCGTTACAAAGCCATCGTTTATAACCCCTGACTTGTGTTGTATGTAAGTGTATGTTAAGCGTATGTCAGTGGACACTTTAGTTGAAACTCTATCTGATTTTAATACCACAGCACGCTAAGGTAGGCTTAATATTTGCGTTACAAGATAAGACTGACGTTCAGTTACCTCGGGGCACCAGTCCTGTATGGGAGAAACAGCCTTCCTTGACACGATCCCGTTATACACCATGACGAGACAGTTTAGACATATTTAACCCTGTAGTGAATATTAACCATCCTTGAAACCACTACGCCAACTATATCATGAATGGAAACCTTTCGTAGACTAACATGTCCTTCAACTTTTACACATTACATTGTCAATTATATACCATATCCTCAGCGGATCTACTTTCAGTACTGTATTTCACTGACCTGGGCAAATAATACACTAGGAAGTAGATGCATTAATCTCTAACAACTACTGTTGGTAAGCCAGACACTTCAGCTAAAACCTATTAAACCGGTTTAGTTTAAACCGTGTGCGCTGATCCAAGTCCGTATGTACATGTGTTGAATAAGAGACTCGTACCCCGCCGCGACGTGCGGTTATAATACAAATATGTTTATAGGTAGTTAGGTCGTCTCGACATATGTGATCACCTTACGCTGACTGAACACTCCTATAACAGATAAATTAGAGAGCAGCCATGCGTCGTTTTATTAATAAAAATCTTTATTATAAAATGAGCATAATTTGCCGCGATATGCACACGGTGTCCTACTTAAATATGTCACATGCAACCTGTATGCACAACAGCAGCAACAGCAAGGTGTATGATATTACAGAAACATATAGGCTTTATGTTATAAGTGGTCTCGGCAAGACGTACCTACATTATAATACCCAGCCACCTTACACGGATCAATATCGGCCGTATGGCCCACGGTGATTATTGTCCTGGAAGGAATTTACTTGACGATAAAACCTAAGCTACAATTGTAATGTAATAATGGCGTGGACCAAGCCTAAGTATTGAAAACACTACCTATGAACTGTATCGGCTCTACAGTTAGCCTTAATCAATTGAATCATGTTCCTAATTATACCGCCGTCTATTCAGAAGTGAAACCCGCAAGCATTTAACTCATAGGAGGTCGGCTCATATTGTAATGCATATCAATATGCGCTTTTCAGATATAATGTTCCCATACACGTGATAATGTGAGCCCTAATGTCTGTTACTTACATAACTATGGATCACGATGTGTGCGGCTGATCCCTCGTTGTATGAACAACAACAAGTAATGCTATTTCTCTTCATAGACACATATTAAAGCGAAGTCCAACTCTTGACTCGACATACTCTATTCTAAACGATGAATCAGTGATCATGAATAATGCCTATATACATACGACGACGCACACATGCCATGTACATTGTGGAGTATATCAAAGCTACATTCATGTGGTATCATACGGTCTATGCTATGGAACATGGTTGATAACTGCAACACTTTACCTTGGCAGGAACGGAGTAGAAAGGTTTCTCCATACTCAACCAGATTTTCTCTTTCCAAGTTGGGTTAACGTCTGATGAAGGGCCATTTTCTCCCAAAGTTTTATCCAAAATATCCAAAATTTGAGTCTCCTGCATTTGTTCGGTGTATCTGTTCCAGCAACATTCGGAAATCATCTCCTCTGGGATTTCCCAGAAATCGAGCTCCTGTTTGAGTGCCAGTCCACACATGGTAGACGGCAGGTGCAGCTCTTGAGTCCTGTACAGGTTCAGAACCGAATTCACCACCTTCGGGTCTCTGTCAAAGAAGAACTCGTTTGCGTCGGGGTCATATTCAGGTGAACTTTGAGTCAGTCGACCGAGTCTTGTCTTTGGAAGTTTTTGAATGGTTTTCCAATAGGTGACAAATTTCTTACCCGCAACGTTGATTGTGATCGTGTCCATATCAACTGGTGGTTAGTATTTTGGCTAAGATCCAGCTAAGGCATTACCACACGGGGTACTGACTAAGCCCCACACAGGTGGAGTTATACCATCAGCTTTCCGTCGTTATCCCCGAGTCTACCAAACACCGGACAAGTTAAGGAGTTCATGGTCCAATAGCTTTCTTTGCGCACACAATAACATTTAAACGCCTCTAACAAAAAGGAGTCTATTATTTACAAGCAAACATTTTCCATACGCACGTGAATTGTTTCACTTGCATCAATGCTTTCATTGCATGATATAAAGTCGTGTAATACAATTCAGCCACAGACAAACATCAGCAGACTAGGAGCATAGACACGACCTCCCTGCGACAGGTTGGCGAGATGTTTAACATCATCCGTGTCGTGTCGCTCTCGGTCATACCAGCACTGTTGAACAATACACTAGTGAAATAACTCATTAAATATATTAATAATTGGTAATAAGTTTGGTTGATAGTCAAGAGCACCATTATTTTGCTCGCAAAACAAGGATACAAAGTTGCATAAATAAGGAATTCACTTCATTCCCCACATAAATGGTTAAATGTTAAAAATAATAATTACAGGTAAAATGAATAAATATATTTAATATATTTCCTGCGTACATTTTTATTCATACAAAAAATTATCTAAATTTTATTATAACTGGTAACAAATTTGCAGTTGTTTATGACAATGTGGATTAGCCAATCTATACTTCCGTAAACAGTGGTTAGTATCTACAGTTCAGATTAACCAATCTATACTCAGTAAACAGTGGTTGGTATCTAGTTCAGATTAACCAATCTATACTCAGTAAACAGTGGTTGGTATCTACAGTTCAGATTAACCAATCTATACTCAGTAAACAGTGGTTGGTATCTAGTTCAGATTAACCAATCTATACTCAGTAAACAGTGATTGGTATCTACAGTTCAGATTAACCAATCTATACTCAGTAAACAGTGGTTGGTATCTACATTTCAGATTAACCATTCTATACTCAGTAAACAGTGGTTGGTATCTACAGTTCAGATTAACCAATCTATACTCAGTAAACAGTGGTTGGTATCTAGTTCAGATTAACCAATCTATACTCAGTAAACAGTGGTTGGTATCTACAGTTCAGATTAACCAATCTATACTCAGTAAACAGTGGTTGGTATCTACAGTTCAGATTAACCAATCTATACTCAGTAAACAGTGATTGGTATCTACAGTTCAGATTAACCAATCTATACTCAGTAAACAGTGGTTGGTATCTAGTTCAGATTAACCAATCTATACTCAGTAAACAGTGGTTGGTATCTACAGTTCAGATTAACCAATCTATACTCAGTAAACAGTGGTTGGTATCTACAGTTCAGATTAACCAATCTATACTCAGTAAACAGTGGTTGGTATCTACAGTTCAGATTAACCAATCTATACTCAGTAAACAGTGGTTGGTATCTACAGTTCAGATTAACCAATCTATACTCAGTAAACAGTGGTTGGTATCTACAGTTCAGATTAACCAATCTATACTCAGTAAACAGTGGTTTGGTATCTACAGTTCAGATTAACCAATCTATACTCAGTAAACAGTGGTTGGTATCTACAGTTCAGATTAACCAATCTATACTCAGTAAACAGTGGTTGGTATCTACAGTTCAGATTAACCAATCTATACTCAGTAAACAGTGGTTGGTATCTACAGTTCAGATTAACCAATCTATACTCAGTAAACAGTGGTTGGTATTCTACAGTTCAGATTAACCAATCTATACTCAGTAAACAGTGGTTGGTATCTACAGTTCAGATTAACCAATCTATACTCAGTAAACAGTGGTTGGTATCTACAGTTCAGATTAACCAATCTATACTCAGTAAACAGTGGTTGGTATCTACAGTTCAGATTAACCAATCTATACTCAGTAAACAGTGGTTTGTATCTACAGTTCAGATTAACCAATCTATACTCAGTAAACAGTGGTTGGTATCTACAGTTCAGATTAACCAATCTATACTCAGTAAACAGTGGTTGGTATCTACATTTCAGATTAACCAATCTATACTCAGTAAACAGTGGTGCGCATCTACAGTTCAGATTAACCAATCTATACTCAGTAAACAGTGGTTGGTATCTACAGTTCAGATTAACCAATCTATACTCAGTAAACAGTGGTTGGTATCTACAGTTCAGATTAACCAATCTATACTCAGTAAACAGTGGTTGGTATCTAGTTCAGATTAACCAATCTATACTCAGTAAACAGTGGTTGGTATCTAGTTCAGATTAACCAATCTATACTCAGTAAACAGTGGTTGGTATCTAGTTCAGATTAACCAATCTATACTCAGTAAACAGTGGTTGGTATCTACATTTCAGATTAACCATTCTATACTCTGTAAACAGTGGTTGGTATCTACAGTTCAGATTAACCAATCTATACTCAGTAAACAGTGGTTGGTATCTAGTTCAGATTAACCAATCTATACTCAGTAAACAGTGGTTGGTATCTACAGTTCAGATTAACCAATCTATACTCAGTAAACAGTGGTTTGTATCTACAGTTCAGATTAACCAATCTATACTCAGTAAACAGTGGTTGGTATCTACAGTTCAGATTAACCATTCTATACTCAGTAAACAGTGGTTGGTATCTACAGTTCAGATTAAGCAATCTATACTCAGTAAACAGTGGTTGGTATCTACAGTTCAGATTAACCAATCTATACTCAGTAAACAGTGGTTGGTATCTACAGTTCAGATTAACCAATCTATACTCAGTAAACAGTGGTTGGTATCTACAGTTCAGATTAACCAATCTATACTCAGTAAACAGTGGTTGGTATCTACAGTTCAGATTAACCAATCTATACTCAGTAAACAGTGGTTGGTATCTACAGTTCAGATTAACCAATCTATACTCAGTAAACAGTGGTTGGTATCTACAGTTCAGATTAACCATTCTATACTCAGTAAACAGTGGTTGGTATCTACAGTTCAGATTAACCAATCTATACTCAGTAGTGACTGAGTGAGTATGGCTTTACGCCGTTTTTAGCAATATTCCAGCAATATCACGGCGGGGGACACCAGAAATGGGCTTCACACATTGTGCCCATGTGGGGATTCGAACCCGGGCCTTCGGCGTGACGAGCCAACGCTTTAACCACTAGGCTACCCCACCGCCCCCTATACTCAGTAAACAGTGGTTGGTATCTACAGTTCAGATTAACCAATCTATACTCAGTAAACAGTGGTTGGTTTCTACAGTTCAGATTAACCAATCTATACTCAGTAAACAGTGGTTGGTATCTACAGTTCAGATTAACCAATCTATACTCAGTAAACAGTGGTTGGTATCTACAGTTCAGATTAACCAATCTATACTCAGTAAACAGTGGTTGGTATCTACAGTTCAGATTAACCAATCTATACTCAGTAAACAGTGGTTGGTATCTACAGTTCAGATTAACCAATCTATACTCAGTAAACAGTGATTGGTATCTACAGTTCAGATTAACCAATCTATACTCAGTAAACAGTGGTTTAACCAATCTAGTAAACAGTGGTTGGTTCACAGTTCAGATTAACCAATCTATACTCAGTAAACAGTGGTTGGTATCTACAGTTCAGATTAACCAATCTATACTCAGTAAACAGTGGTTTGTATCTACAGTTCAGATTAACCAATCTATACTCAGTAAACAGTGGTTGGTATCTAGTTCAGATTAACCAATCTATACTCAGTAAACAGTGATTGGTATCTACAGTTCAGATTAACCAATCTATACTCAGTAAACAGTGGTTGGTATCTACAGTTCAGATTAACCAATCTATACTCAGTAAACAGTGGTTGGTATCTACAGTTCAGATTAACCAATCTATACTCAGTAAACAGTGATTGGTATCTACAGTTCAGATTAAACCAATGTATGCTTAGTAAACAGTGGTTGGTTTCTACAGTTCAGAAAAACACAGAAATCTGTGAACAACACCATAAGGAAGTATTTTCGCCAGCAGCAAGCGAAGTATATATTTCAGAATTACATATACCAGAATACCAAAATTTCAAAATTAATGCTGAGTCTAAATAGTGATGCATAGTCTTTTGAAAAATGAGATATTGGAATATGCACTGTCAACACAAACAATGCTCATAGTTAACACAAGTGACCGCTTGCTCACTCCAATACAACACACTGCGTGATATACTTAGCTTAGAAAGTATAGATATTTGAGTGAATTACTAATCCATCGAATGATACCTTCCAG